CTGGCTGAAGTCAGACGCTTAACCGACTGCCACCCAGGCGCCCCTAAAAATGTTTTTAAATGAATAAATTTTAGAATTTCAGTTTAAATTTCTTAAAAAAAATTTTTTTTAATGTTTATTTATTTTTGAGACAGAGAGAGACATAGCATGAACGGGGGAGGGTCAGAGAGAGGGAGACACAGAATCTGAAGCAGGCTCCGGGCTCTGAGCTGTCAGCACAGAGCCCGACGCGGGGCTCGAACTCACAGACTGTGAGATCATGACCTGAGCTGAAGTCGGATGCTTAACCGCCTGAGCCACCCAGGCGCCCCTCAGTTTAAATTTCTAACGTGGTAAACTCTGGTGAGATAATCTATATAAACAAAAGCTTGTTGGGGTCCTGAGTAATTTTCAAGAGTGTGAAAAGGTCCTGAGATAAGAAAGTTAGAACTGCGGCTCTAGAAGTTTTCTCACGAGGGCACATAAGGCTGTGTATTGCAGGTGCACCATGAAACACTACCCTTGAAAGGCATCTGTGTAGTGCTAAGAGGTAAAAAGCAATCTGGAGATGAGTCAGCATGGTATGGGAATTGGGATTTAGGTGGCATCGGAGAAAAACTTGGACTTCTTACTTTGCCTTTGTGATTTCTTTCTGTGACAAATTTGCTATAATGCAGAACATAAAAAGATGCAAAAACTGAATTGATGGCTGTCCAACCAAACTGTCCCTCTTTTGCAGCAGCTTTTTATGAAAGAATTTGCCTAATTCACGTTTTACTGAAGACAAATCAATTTCTTTGGACCTTGGGTATCTTTTTCTAGGGCAACACGGTCTTATTTTGTGTTACAGATTGTTCTTGATCCTTCGTAGGGTGATCTTTCTAGAGTTGGTTAATATCCATATAGGTTGGATTAAAAAACTTGCAGTCATGGGTCACCTGGGCGACTCAGTAGGTTAAGTGTCCAGCTTCGGCTCAGGTCGTGATCTCATGGTTCATGGGTTCAAGCCCCGGGTGGGGTTCTGTGCTGACAGCTCAGAGCCTGGAGCCTGCTTCGGATTCTCTGTCTCTTTCTCTGCCCCTTCCTCCACTCGCGTGCTGTCGCTCTGTCTCAAAAATAAATAAACACTAAAAATTAAAAAAAAAACAAAAACCCACCTTGCAGTCATAACATACATTGTTGGATCAGACACGAACCTGGAAGCCAAGAATGCTGCAATGTGAGAGCGGCAGTGGTGAATCTGGAAGGAGAGGGCAGATGGCAGTTTTTTGCCAGGATCATTCGGGGTCAGAATGGCTAGTCATATGTACAGGGAGAAAAAAAAGGAAACCATGGTATTATTTCACGCACCATATGTCCCTTCCAGATTTCAGTGGCTTGACTACAGAAAATTCACTTTCGGAGAGTTGGTAAAAGAGGAATAAAAGCATTCACTAGTAAACCTCTTTTCCTTAGTAGTTTCCTTCTTTTTCCAACAAATATTTATTGAGCACACTATGTATCAGGGAATGTTGTAGTCATTGGTGATACATTAGCAAACAAAAAACATCCCTGCCCTCCTGGAATTGACATTCTAGTGGGAGGAGACAGACCATAAATAAGCTAGGTAAGTAAAGTATAGAGTATGTTAGATGGTAGTAGGTTCTGGAGAGAAAAATAACATAGAAAAGGGGCTAAGGAATGTTGGGCCCTGCGACTTTAGTTAGGGAGGCCTCCCTGAGAAGGTGACAGTTGAATAAAGACCCGAAGGCAAAGGTGGGAAGTGAGGAACAAGCCTTGGAAATAATGGGGAAATCATCAGTGCAAAGGCCCTGAGGCAGAGCTTGTTTAGCTTGTTTGAGGAGAAGCCCAGAGTAACTGGAACCATGGGAGCAAAAGGAGAGTGGTAGGAGATAAAATGGGGGTGAGGAGAGGATGGCTGGAGCAGAATGT